ACGAAGAGGGGAAGTGTTGAGTGCAGAGCGAAGGGGGGTGGGCGCAACATCAATGGTTGTGGCAAAATTTTGATCATTTAACATCAAGGTGTTGTAGAGAGGATTTGGGAGGCGTTTTCAATTAGTGTTGGTGATCATTTTGTTGATGCAAATAGTAGAGCCATTTAGGAACCCTTCAAAGTTGTTGGCTTTGAAGATTTTCAAGATTTGGGATTTCCATTGGGGATAGTAATTAGTAGAGAGTTGTGTGTTTGTTGAGTGTTTAATGTTGGACGATAGGAATTTTAGAGATGGTGGGATGGAGTCATGGTTAATGGGCTTCGGTTTTCTTGGATGATAGAGGATGCTATATAGTCCAGGTGAGAGGAGCGTGGTGTGTCGAGTTGCAATTGGGAATCTAATGCCATATTAAACATCATTTACTTAGAGCTAAGAGACGGATCAGATAAGTCAAGGAAGAAGAGAATGGGAGCAAATTTCATTCCATACTTATCAAACTTGTACAGTGGTCATGATATAGAGGAATGAGATTACAATTTGTTATGTAATGCAGGGCATGACCTATCGATAGTGGCCACATAATGGGATCATGGGAGTTGATGTGGTTGCTTCCACTGAGGAGGTGGCTATGTACTTTGATCATGGACGCTAGAATTAGTCATGGATGATTATTATGCTTCTCAAGGAGATTACAACTTTGGCTTTGTTTGGAGGAGCTTTTTGACTACTTTTGTGTTAGGAAAAGCGGTCAATAAAAAATAATATATGTTTAGATGATAGTTTTTACTTTTTTTAGCTTTTAAAAACTGTTTGTTGAAAACTATACATAAAACTGTGTTTGAAAAGAAAAAGTTTTTGAAAGCATAAACAAAAAGGCATAAGCTCTCCCAAACGAAGCCTTCATCATCTTTTCTTCATCATCAAGGGATTATATATCTTGAGTAAGAGCAATTGATGCAGATGGAAGTTAAGAGTACGATAGATTAGTGATTAGAAAAATTAAGGTGTTAAATACATGAATAAGAAACTTCTGAAAATTCCCTTAAAATGATGAATTTTTCTCCACAAACATATCAAATGAAAAAAAAAATACAGTTCTTTCCAATGCATATGTTATGTGACCAAACGGTTTATGATCCTCTGTATTTACATTTCAGCCATTTTATTTTCTATTTAAGCAGTATTGTATAGCCTCTTGTATCCATTCATTACACTTAATACAATTCAACTTTCTCCCGCTCTCTCTCTGTTTCTCCGTCCTGAGGCCTCCTGTCTCCTTGTTTTCATGGTATCAAGAGCTACTCATGGGGGATCAATAATCAACTAACTCCCTCCCTCCCTCCTCTTCACGCCTCTCCGGCCACACCTCCGCCGACATTGTCATTTCGGCGCCACTCAAGTTCCTCATCTCGAACATCAAGAACCTCATACCACACGCTCTTACGGCTGACAACTACGCAATCTAGCGTATTCAAGTTCTTCAACAATTCTCAGCAAACGGATATGCTGGACATCTCACCGGTACTTCACCTCCTCCCACAGATGCCTAGTCCCTAGAATCTCTCCAATGGCATCTCGTTGACAACAACCTCCTCTCCGCCTTATTCTCAAACATTTCCCCCTCGATCTTACCGTACGTCATCTCCTCTGCCACTGCCCAAGAGGTTTGGCAAGTTCTTGAACGCCGTCTTCAACCAACCTGTCGCTCTCGAGTTATACAACTCAAAAACAAACTTCATCGCATTCAAATGAAGAACCTCACTATGCAGCAAATTAAAACAATCGTCGACAATATAGTCGCTTCTGGATCAAAAGTCAATCCGAAAGACATCATCCTTCACATACTCAACAGTCTACCATCTCCCTACAATCCGTTTAAAGCCGCGATCCTCACATCCCCTCTTCCCCTTGATCTAGACAATCTCTATTCGCTTCTGTGTAGCGAGGAAATTAATGTCAATCAAGAACTTGCCAAAGATTCACTCTCGGGCTCAAGCGCTGCGACACTCTACACAACCACTTACAACCAACAACGAGGCCGATCCCAGAAAAGAATTCCCAAGAACAAGTATCCGCCGAACCTACACAATCCGCCCATGCCGGTTTCGGTCCAGCCCAGCTCTCCGAGTTCCTCGAGATCAACTTGCCAAATTTGTGGCAAAGCCGATCATATTGCCATCAACTGCTGGCATAGGTGCAATTTTAAATATGCACCCACCATCACAAGATCTCCGAGAGCACTTCTAGCACAGTCAAATTCAAATAACTCTCAAGATTGGATACTAGACTCTGGCGCATCTACTCACCTAACACCGGACATCAACAATCTTCAGTACCCCAACTCCTACCACAGTCCAGACAGCGTATCGATCGCCAACGATCGACGATACCTATACAAAACTCCGGTCAAGGTCTTCTTCCCCTACCTCGTAAGCTTCATTTATGCAAACTTCTTTACGTACCATCTTTAGCTCACAATCTCCTCTCTGTTTCCAAATTAACCGCCGACAATTCTGTCTCTATAAGTTTTGATGCCAATGGTTTTGTTATAAAGGACATCCAGGACCGTCGTCCGCTTCTTCGTGGGCATCTTCATAACGGCCTATATCAAATAAGCCCCTCAAAAGAATCATCTCCCACGCCCTTCAAGCCAGCATCCAACCTGCTCACCTCTGGCACGATCGTCTCGGACATCCGCACCATCAAATTCTTTCTGCTTTATCTCAATACATTCCTGATGTCAAAAATGTATCATCTACTTTATTATGTACTTCATTAGTGTGGTAAAGAGTCACAAAATTCCCTTTAATAGAACTAATTCCATGACTACTTCTCCCTTTGAGATTATACACTCTGACGTCTGGGGGCTAGCCCCGCTACCGTCCTTGGATGGGTTTCGCTACTACGTTATTTTTATAGATGACCATACTCGCTTCACCTGGATATATTTAATGCATACGAAGCAAGAAACCTTCTCCAAATTCAAATTACTCTATAAGCTTATTAAAACTCAATTTCACACCACCCCTAAAATCTTTCGCTCTGACAGCGATGGCAATTTTACTAGCACCGAATTTACTTCATTTCTACAAAGTCACGGCATCCAACGCCAACTTAGCTGCCCTCATAACCCAGAACAAAATGGCGTCGCAGAACACAAGCACATACATCTTCTGGACCTAACCTGATCCCTTCTTCACGCCTCCAATTTGCCTCCTATGTTCTGGTTAGAAGCACACTCAACAGCGAATTATCTCATTAACAGGCTTCCTTCCAAAACCATATCCTTACACACTCCTTCCCAACGTCTACACTGAAGATTACCTAACTATACCCTTATCCGCATGTTTGGATGCCTATGCTTCCCTTGGCTACAACCTTACGCCGTCAACAAGCTATACCCACGATCGCAAGAATGCATTTTTATAGGTTACTCTTCTGCTCATAAAGGATACAAGTGTTACAATCTTGCTTCAAACAAGATTCACATTTCTAGACACGTTGTCTTCCACAAACACACATTTCCTTATAAAGCTCACACATCTCAGTCAACAAACACAAAAGCATCTACTCTCACCTCTTCTCCTAACTCCGACATCAACTCCCATCACTCCTAAATCAAAACCGAAAGTTCCCGCCAATCAGCCATTTCAAGACCCAACTCTTTATCGCCGTCTAGCCGGATCATTGCAGTACCTATCCATCACCCGTCCAGACATAGCCTTCGCTACAAACCAAATCTACCAACACATGTATCAACCGACCATTGATGACTTCCAGGCTCTCAAGCGACTGTTGTGTTATATCAAAGGAACCTTATCTTACGATATCCCAATTAAGATCGGTGCTCTAACTCTACGGACCTACACATATGCATATTGGGCCTCCGATGCGTCCGATCGAAAGTCTATCTCAAGTTTTTGCACATTTTTGGGTTCCACAATCTTCTCCTTGACGGTCAAGAAGCAAGTCACGGTCGCAAAGTTATCAACATAAGCTAAGTATCGAGCTCTCTCCGCTGCCACTTTAGACATAGTCTGGCTACGACACCTCGTGGCCGAACTTGGTCTTGCACAAACTTCTCCAACCACCATCTACTGTGATAACATCTCGGCCATGGCTCTAGCTAAGAATCACGTCTTCCACGCGGGAACTAAACACATCGAGATCGACTACCAGTTCATCCGCCAACATCTCCAATTCGACGAAATACATCTCACGCATATCCCATCAACGGATCATATAGCAGACATTTTTACAAAATCCTTCTCTCCTGCTCGCTTCATGACCATCGTCGCAAATTAACCATTCAAAATTCAAATGATTAATTTGAGGGAGGCTGTGAGCGAACGGTTTATGATCCTCCGTATTTACATTTCAGCCATTCTATTTTCTATTTAAGCAGTATTGTATAGCCTCTTGTATCCATTCATTACACTTAGGCTTTGTTTATTTGAACTTTTTTTTTTTCCTTTTTCGTTTGTAAACGGAGGATTTTTTTTTTTTTTTGTTATTTGGTTCGTCAAATCACGTTCCCAATAACTTCTTTTTTCATTTTTCTGCAGTTTTGAGAAAGCTTTTTATATATGCTTCTCCGTTAGAAAACTCCATTTTCTGAACTAATGTTTTTTAAACTGTCTTTTACAAAAGCACCAAAAAAACAGAAGAAGCCTTAATACAATTCAACTTTCTCCCGCTCTCTCTCTCTCTCTCTCTCTCTCTCTCTCTCTCTCTCTCTGTGTGTTTGTCCGTCCTGAGGCCTCCCGCCTCCTTGCTTTCATGTTCCACCTTCAAGCAACAAATAGCAGAAGATTTAAACACAGAGCGCCAAACTAACGTGCTCTCCAATGATAAAACAAGAGTCGTTTTAAGAAAATCATCAATCTCAAAAGCTTTCTTTGCTAAACTAACGTGCTCTCCAATGGCAAAATGTAACAAAATCATAAGGTAAAAAATCTTTTTTTTAACTAGATTTATGCCCGAAGTATGAAATTAGATACCTTTCTTTCAGTTGAAATTTTAGTTCCTTGTTTCTGGGTGGCCTGGCACTTGGTAACCAAAGGAGAAACGAAAGACCTGCTGCAGGTGCAGAACCCTATTGTCTCCATTAATCAACTCTCTCTCTCTCTCTCTCTCTCTCTCTCTCTCTCTCTTCCTCCTCAGCTTGATTTGGAAGTCTCAGGTAAAGGAGAGTGCAGGTGAATGGAAGAGGATGCTTCTGGCAGCTGTGTAAACGTGTCGTGTTCTTATGGTCGCATTTCCTATCTGATCTGTATTGCATTGGCCAGAGCGTATCATAATTCTAATTAAGCAAAATGATTAAATACAACAAATCATTTAATCATTTTTTTAAACTTCAAATCATTTTGATAATTTGGCTTCTGAGTACAAAATTTTTTAGTACTAAAAAAATTCCTTTAAAAAATAATAAAAAATATCCCAAATAAAACTTTAGCTTTTTTCTTAAAAAACATTATTTTATGTATGTAAAATGCATTTTATATACTATTTTACACATATTAAATTTATTACAAATTGAGCATAATTTTGACCGCAGTGTAGTGGTCAAAATTTGGTACATAACTCGCCTAGTTAGGGTTTGAAACTCAAAAAAGCAAAGTAAGAATCAATTGTTCATTTTATATTAAAATTCATCTTTTATTCTCATTTATGTTAGAATAATAAATTATCTTAGTAGATCAAAATTCTGTCAACATGGGGAAGTTATTGGGTTCGGACACCGGATATTGTCCGGAGCCTAATGAAAATACTTCACATCATCACTTACTCTGTACTGAGCTCGGTACTTTACAGTATCGATGCAAAACCCCTCCATATTTTATTTTTTTGGGTGCAGTTAGTCTGTACGAACTGACCTTAGTACTGACGAACTGTTGAAAATCTGTATGCTTAGTCTATACGAACTGAGTAAAGTGCATGTTCGTCTGTACGAACAGTAAGTTCGTCTGGATAAACTGAACAAATTTTTTGCTAGAGAGCATCGTCCAGGGACGAAATAAAACATCATTTGTACGATCTGTGTCCAGAGAACTTCGTCCCTGGTCGAATGGGAAACATCGTCTGGACGATCGTAAATATCTTTTCTCTATTTATGGACCGTTTGAGATATTTTGAAGAGAGAGAAAGAGAAGGAAAGAGAAAGGAAAAGCTTGATTTTGGAGGCCGCGGAGCGATTTTCGTTAGACGCCGCTGTTAGAAGAATTGTTTGTCTCACTGTAAGGAATCCGAATCCTATTTCTAATTTCGAAGATATCATGTTTTGGTATTTTTATGCTCAGTTTTTTATTTCAGTTACCGAAAAACGTGCATAACTTTGTATTGACGAAACTTTCGCTGCGTAACTTTTTGTATATTATAGAGAATATGATTTTGCACGATTTAAGTATTTTTTGGAGAGTTTTCACTGAATATTTTGAATTATGAAGTATTTTTATCGAATAGACTCATGTTAAAGATATGATGAATTCTTTTAAGATTTGGCGTATGTACTGATTTATTGAGCTTTATAGATTTTTCTACTGCTTAACGATTATTCTACTGATGATATTGGATTATATTGATTATTGTTTATGTATTGATTTTCGTATCTGCATCGATTCAATAATCATGTGCAAGCGACTAATATTTATTTGACTGATTGACATGCATATTGTTTCCATACCGTGCTTTGATTTCAGTTGTAGGTTTTGGTGATATGCTGGACTTTTTAAGCTCATTATATGTGGTTAATAATTTCAAATCAAGGCAAGGGAGCAGGAGTGTGAGGCTAATCTGGGTTCTTCAGGTTCTGTTCCTTTTTATTTTAGTTATTCTTTTGTACTCAGGTCTAGACGGAATAGGGATTAATGTGTAAATCTTGAGTATTGTAAATGACTTTTGGGAATAAATAGAATGTTAATGGATGTTTTAAATTATTGAATGTGTTGGACTGTTATTTACTGATTGATGACTATATATAGCTCTGGTAGTTGATGGTTTAAAGGATTAAAAGAATAATTCTTCCAAGTTAGATCTTGGGGCATGACAATCAACCTCAGTATTACTTGGTACTATGAAGTACCAAATGGTAAGCTGTGTATGGTGTCCGAACACAATAATTTATCGTCAACATGAGACCAATTTGTTGCTCTAATATAAGTCAATAAGTGCAGTGTGACTACATAAATGAGATTCAATCTAATAATTCTATAGAAAAACTTGAACGAATATCAAATTAAATGATTCAAGTCATTATTGAGTTGGACTTAAATTAGCTCAAAATTGTATCATTAACAACCTTTTTTTTTATGATCATAGATTGTTTTACACAAATAAAGAGCAAGTGTAGAAGAATTTACTAAGGAGGCATCAATCTTCATTTCAATTAGATTGGATGGTGGAGTGACTGTCTTGCATGCAATTTATTGGTTGATTTATAGTGGGGGCAATGGGCCACAAGCTCCCACTAGCCTAGCATTGTTTATGGCAATTGGTTTAAACAGACATAACTTATTTCGTAGTTGGCAGTTCGTACTCCCTCGATCGAGCAATATATGTATTATTATGGTGCTCCTCTCTCTCTCTCACTTTCTCTCTTTCTCTTTAGCCTCTATTTTGGAATCTAATTTATTTTCTTTTGAGTTCTTCTATATGGTTTGATGGAGATGTATAGGGAGAATAAGGAGGATCTACATACAATATTTATTGATTTAGATAAAGCTTATTATAAAGTTACATGAGAAGTGTTATGGAGAGTTTTAGAAATTAAAGGGGTTAATACTGCTTATACTTAAGTTATTAAGGATATGCATGCAAGTGATGTTGTTAGGCCAATTATTTTCCTATTTCCGGTTGATAACATCTAGGATCAACTTTAAGCTCATATCTTTTTGCTTTAGTCATGGATGTTCTTACCAAACATTTGTAGGAGGATGTACCCTAGTGTATGCTTTTTGTTAATAATATTCTTCTTGTTGATAAGACTACAACATGAGTTGAAAGTAAACTTGAATTATGGGGGTCAACCTTAGAGTCTAAAAATTTCAGTTTGAGTGGATCTAAAACCGAATAAATTAAGTGTAATTTTAGTAGTCATAGATCTAGTGGAAGAATTGTGACTTTGGGGGATCAAGTCATTAACAAGAGTACACATTTTAGATATATCAAATCTATTGTCTAAAGTGATGGTGAAATAGATGGATATATTATTAGTATAATTCAACTTGGATGGTTGAATTGGAGGAATGCATTGAGCTTGTTGTGATAGAAAAGTACCACTCAAATTAAAGGGAAAATCCTATAAGATGGTGGTGAGATCTGCCATGCTTTTATGATGCAGAATGTTGGCCATTAAAAGAGAAACATACAATTAAGTTAAGTGTTGTAGAAATGAGGATGCTCAGGTGGATGAGTGGATTTACTCTTAGAGATAGAATGAGAAATAAGAATATGTGTGAAAAGGTTGGAGTAGCTCCAATGGATAATATTAGAGAGAGCTGCCTTAAATGATTTGGTCATATAAAAAGTCGGTCATTTGATAACCTGATTAGGAGAGTAATTGTATTAGATTTGACCTATATTAAGATAGGTTGAGTTGGACATAAAAATACTTGATTAAAAAAATATTAGAAATTATATAAATGAAAATTTGAATCTTAACAGGACATAATGGAGAAAAAATATTTATGTAGCTGACCCCGCATAGCGAGATAAAGCCTTGATGTTGTTGTTCTCGTTGAGCTCCTCTCCCTCTGTCTCAAGGGCTCATAATCTATTATCTACCTTTTTTTTCTTTTGAGTCTCCACCACCCCTTCTCTCTCTATGACCCTAATTTTGGAATCCATTTTTTTAGTTTCATCTCTCTCTCTCTCTCTCTCCCTCCCTCCCTCCTAATGTTATATTTTTTTATTTTGAAATCTCAAAATTTCTTTTTGAAAAAAAAATTGATCCTTTTGTTCACATATGTAAATAAAATTGTATAACATGCTGATCAAATTTTGAAATGAATAAAGTAATAAGTCTATGCTAATTACCAAAAAAAAAAATCATAGTTCTATCTCATTACAAGAGATTGTTTATAATAACGTTATAAAGTTTTTACTGAACTAAAATACTATTTTTAGATGTTAAAAATAAAATTCTAAATTGATAAAAATCGTTATATTTCAAAATCACACAACAAAAAATCTCGAATAAATACTCAAAGTGACAAGAACAGTCATACCGACAACATATCAAAAGTTACATAAATAAAAGTTACCATAATTTAAGAAAATCATATTTTTGTAAAATAAAATTATAAATTTGATCAGAAAAATTCCAAAAAACTTTGAATTATTGAAATATGAGATAGTTAAAACATAATATACCATGACCCGAATAATTTTTTCAACTAGGCCGACTGCTGAAAAATGGTCCGAGTAGCCCTAAATGAAGTTTCTCTCACTAGAAACCCATTCTCTCTCACTAGGCAACTACTCAAATGGAACAGATCAGGTGGAATAGTGGATTTGGATATATTTAACTCCAGGAATTGGCTCAACATATGGGAGTCAGAAAACACAATGTTGGGACGCTCTATGGGAAAATTCCAAATTTCACAAACAAGCATTTAGATCCATAAAATTCACTTCAGAACACCCGCAAACCTTTTTGATGCACATAGATCATTCTCATACATATGTAAGAAAGTTCAAATGTAGAAATTCATTAGGTTGCCTGACTTCTAGTCAGATCATATCGATTTGAACAATACTCTGATCCAAGAGGTCTCACACTATTTGTATATCGATCAATAAGATTTGATCAACCAGGATTTATTGAATCCTATAAATCTAGATTTAGTAAATCTTGATCTTGTTAAATCATGAAAAAAATTTTGGCATGAAAGAAGTTAAATTCAATTAAATATTGATGAGTTGTTTGGATATTTATTTTTAAAATTTAAGTATGTTAGCTCATATAAGACTTTAATAATAATTTTTTATTATGAAATTAACATAAGCTACACTACCACACGAGATTAATTAATCATACTTATTATATATTAATTTTTCAATTAATTATTAGTCAGTAACGTATTAAATTAGTCAAACATAATTTCTAATTTTAAAAAATTATTATGAACCCTAATCAGATTAATTAAAGCATACATATTATATAATAAATCTCAATTAATTAGTAATTAGCAAAGTATTGAATTAGTAAAGTATATAAATTCTATCGAATAAATTAAATTACAAATAATATCAATTAACTTAAGTTAATTTTTTTAACTACAATGATGATTATATCTTATTATATTAACTTATCATATATAAATTTTAATTAGCATAAGATTCAATATCAATCACAACAAGTAATTTGCTAAGCCAATTTATAAGTAAATAGTATCTAGACAAATTAAATAGAAATAATATCAATCAACTTAAGATAATTTTTTTAGCAATTTTAATAACGATTTTTTTTTTAATTATCATAGAATAGTATTGAAATGAATCATTAATTAATAATTGATAAAACCAATGAAATATATAATTTTATTTAAATTCAATTCACACACAATATTAATATACTTAATTTAATATTTTTAATTAATTAATGCTAATTATTAAAATGACCTATCAAAATTTCAAGTATAAAATATGAACCTTCTTGTTTACCCAATTTTAAGCGATGTTTATATCTAAGGGCATCTCCAACCGAACGGCAAACACTTGTTTGCCGTTCTTGCTTTGCTCCAACCGATCGCTATTTTTTACGCCATTTGATCGCGAATGAACAGTGCGACGCCAATATTGGCGTTGCACTGTTCATCTGTGCCATTTTTTCTCTCTACCGAACAGGTTGGGAAGAAAGGCGTGAAAGAAAATGACTGTTTTAGCAATAAAATGGCGTTGGATTGGAAATGAAACACGGCATTTTTTTATTTCCCTACATTTTGGAGTGAAAAATGACATTTTCGGTTGGAGATGGTCTAAAGAACCTAAACCCATCTTTCTCGTCAATCGCTCCTAAACGAACCCCTCGACGACATAGAACTACAGAAGAGAGGACGTCGCGGCCGGAGGTCGCCGGCGAAGGCATAGACGGGATCGATCGCTCCTAACATAAACTCTAAACAATAGAAAAACGAGGAAGTCGCGGCCGAAGCTCGCCGGCGAAGGCATCGACGGGATCTCCACGTGTGAAGGAGAAGAGTTGAGTATACAGAAAAAAAACTGTTACTTATATGCCGTAGCGATTGGCGGATCGGAAGTCAAGACGGAAGCTTACCAGGTAGGAAACTCTCGATCTTTCTTATCTTCGCGCGCTTTTGGCTAAATCCCGTAAATCTGCCGAAATTCTGTATCTTAGGGCAAATTATTAGGTCCAGACATCGAATTAAAACTTATTATTTGAATCGTGTTTTGAATGTTCTTTACATGCGCTTTGACTGTGCTTTAACTGGGCTTTAGCTACACTTTACGTGCACTTTTGATTCGCTTGACTTAAAATTCTGCTGACACGTATACATTCCACATGTGAATATATTATTAGTGTCCGGACGTATCTCTACATCCAGTGACCAGACCTAATAATTTTCTGTATCTTAGGGGGTGTTTGGTGTCATATTGAATTGATTTTTGTGGGATTTAGTAAATCCTATAAATCCAAATTTAATAAATCTTGCAGTTGATAAATCTTAGAAGAATAAATATATTTTAAATATTAAATTCTTAGAAGATATTTGATAATATATTTTAATTTTTATAACAGTTAGGGATTTAAATTATATGATTATTAAAATTATTAAGTTTAAATTATTCTTTAATTATTATTTACACTAATTATATATTTAATAATATATATTTTAAGTGATATTAATTAAGCTAATTATATTATATTTAATTATTAATATATCATTAATTATTAAATTAAATTAAATTAGATAATTATTTTATGCATTAATTATTCCATTCATTACTTAATTATTATTATTTTAATGTAGAGTTTGGCCTTCGTCTTCTATTTTTGTCATTGCTGTTCGGTTGCTTCGCAGGTGTAGAGAGCTAGCACGCGTCGCTTCTTCGGCTCCTTCGTGGCTGTTCGACTTCGCTCCTTCGACGACTTTACCTTCCTTTCGGATAGGAAGTTACGATATTTTGATTGGATGCAACAACGGGAGCTCGCTGGCTTTGAAGGTAACTTTCTCCCTTTCGCGCTCTTCTCCGGCCAAATCCCGCAAATCTCGTTAAATCCGGGAAAGAATGGGATTAAGATTTACCCAGATTTATCAGGATTAATGCCCTAAATCCGTAAATCCAGGATTTACGGAGTCACCGGATCTAGACGTGCGCAGAAAGTTGTTTGGCTGGATTTACGTTAAATTCTACTTAAAAGTGAAGACAAATCAGATACCAAACATCCCCTTAAGATTCTGTAGGATGTGAAGTTGTCATTTTTCTGTTCAGCGGGATTTAAGCTAAATACTGCTACCAAACCGACCCGAAAGCTAATTTATTATTACTTGCTTAGCTGTCCTAGAAGCTTAAGATTTGCGTTGGTAAATTTTACAAACTGACAAACTGTTACTAGGGCTGCAAATGAACCAAGCCGAGCCAAGCAGGTGCTTGTTCAAGCTTAATTTGAGATTTTCTACTTGTGTTCATGCTTGATTTATTTAAAATGATAGATGCTCATATTTAATTTTTGCTTGATTTATATTTGATTCTTTTTGTGTTTATTGAGTTTTAAATACATGAGCATTATCAAGCCATTAATGAACCTTTTCTCTAGATTTTCATTAGCTTTACAAATGAGCCTACTAACAAATAATTACCTAGAGCTTATTCATGAATATATCTAGTGAATGTTTTTGAGTTACCAAAAGGGCTCGTTTACAAACATATCTAGCAAGTATTTTTCAGTTATGAAATGAGTCCGTTCATGAACAAATGATCTTAGAAATTGATTCTTCTTATAAAAAGATTTTTTTTATGAACACTTAAAATAAACAATCCTAACACTGCCAGTGCCAGGTCCCAAGTTCTGAATGTGAAAAGTAGAGGGTTGTGTTAGGTAGTCGACAAATAGCGTAAAATTTGTCAAATAATCATTAGCCGATCCCACATAGTGGGACAAAGGCTTGATGTTACTTAAAATAAACAATCTAAAAAACATGAATAAATACTTTTTGTTCATGAATAAATTCATTATATTAAAAAAGTATAACATTAAAAACAAAATTAAAGTTTTATTAGATAATAATTATTTATTATAAGCAAATAAAAAATTATGCGAACATACGTAAAATAAATATTTATAGGCATAGTAAGACTTAATTGATTCTTAACTAATCACACTCTATATTAGAGATTAATTGAGCTTCTTAACGAGTCAAACACATAGTTGTTTCTTATTTAACAATTAAGTATTTATAAAATTGTTAAAACTTGTTTGATTACTCGAACAAATGATAATGAGCGAGTTGTAATCGAGTCAAGTCACGAGTAACTTGTTGAACAGTCAGTTCATTTGCAGGCCTAGGTGTTACTTGTTTTGTTGGTTGAGATATGATATTTCATGTGCAATTTTTATGAATTAATAAATTTTGAGATATGATATTTTTGTTTGCATTGAATTTGGCCTATTGGCTGAATTATGGTGACCATAAGGCAGACATAAATTAATTATTTCTATGTTTATGAGTAGTTTGGGTTGGAGTTATATTTTTTATGCCATGTGATCATAGATGATTATTAGAATTTCTACAACTCCTAGTAGATGGGGAAGTAAGGTTTTAAGTAATGCAAGGTGGCCCTAGTTATTGGTATGGGTTGAGAAGGGGGATGAGCCAAAGTTTAAAGGGTTTGACATTTTTCTTTTTGATGCCCTAATTCATCCTAAGAGGCTTATTTATAGCCTATAAGAAAATATGAAGACTCTTAAATAATCTTGATAACAATCTAATAACCACTAAAACATTCATTTACATTTATTCTCTAACATTTCACAAGCCTTCGCAATGACCGAGGAATGGAGCCACATATCGTGATAGAAGGGATGGAAACTGATCTGGAAATGTCGAATGTGAGTGGAGGTAGTTGAGAATGGCGAATCTCAGTAGAGGTTGGCACAACGATATTGATATGATCTTGAAGAAGAGGCAATTTCTTATAAATCTAGTAATGCCAGTTAGGAAGAGGTTGGATCTGGTGAGAGAGATACATATCACAAGCAAATCGACAATGATAGAAGAGTTCTTTCGATCTATCTAGAGTTGACTGATGTTGGTAGGATTTTATGAATATGTAGGAACAAGATCTACATGATTTTGGAGGGTGGAAGTCTGGATCTCGTAGATCTTTGATTGTGGGTCGATCTAGTGCGTGAATTTAGGGGCATGCAGACCTTGTAGGAGTCAAACGAGGTGGATTTGTCGAGGGGGAAATGGGCTAACATGATATTTGGCAATGTATTGTGATTGGTGTTGGAGATCCCAGAGTCGGAGTAGGAGCTGGGATGGGTGTCTATGGGTTGTTGGATCTAGTGAATCTAGGAGGAGAGTGATTGATTTGAGTCCACATCAGGTGAAAGGGCATGAGCTAAGATGGTTTATTAGTGGATCTATATTTTCGATGTGAGTGAAGATGGTATGACATATGAATGATGATGAGGCTCAATGAAAGCACCATTTGGTTCAAAAAGCAAAAAAAAATGTTGAAAATAGTTAATTATTATATTAAAGAAGATAACTAGATAATTTTTAGCGTGTTACAATTCCAGATAAATGGGGGAGAAGGGTTTTAGGCAATATAGCGTGGCAAAAACTATTGGTATTGAGGAGGAGAAGGGGGATGAGCAAAATCTCAATTGGTTTCACATATTATGCCTTGATGCTTATTTATAGCTGCCCCCCCCCCCCCCAAAAA